TTTAGTTCCATCAAAGGCTCACAATATTTGAATTGAATATCCTGGCCTTCACACGACCTAATAGTAATCATTCTCTAAGCCAAAAAATATCTCACTTATACTCATATACTCATACCCACTACAAACAGTTTTTCTGGGCTCCCCAATTTTTTCTCACATATTGCACACTTTGGACACGTGTGCTTCTTCAACCCTTGTTTGAACCTATCATCTTGACATAAAGGAATAGTACGAAGCATAAGGATATTACATTTATGTGATCTCAAATTGTTATGTAATTTGATTGGCATATCTCTGGACAGTCACACTTAGAGACTGGACAGATTGTACGTTGTTCCACCACTTCGTACCATCTCCGCTACCGCATTTCCAACACCCAGTCGTTTGGTTGAGACCTGACTCCCCATGGGTTAAAGCTAAAACACTAACAAATATTTCGATCGACTTACTAAAGTCGTTGAAGGCGGGGGCCTGATTAGGGACACAACGGAGATTTTGTTAATGATGGTTCCTCTTCAATCCTCCTCGAGCTACGACGCGGAGGTTTAGGTGCTTCTGATCGGTCTTCAGATTGTAACCTTTATCTCTACTCACATTTGGATAGAGCTAGATGTTGCCGCTTTCGCCACCCTCTTGACCTCTGGCCAACAAGGCTTGTAGTAGATTCAACAACATGCGCATCAGATACACACTTCACTCAGTTTGCTATCAGATCTCGTACATCTTCCACGAAGGGAACCGATCCGCTGACTACCTAGCCAGCCTAGGTGCCTCCACTCCATAGAGGTGCACTTTCCACCTGGATGACGCCCCTCTCCGCCTTCGTACTCTTGTGAGGATGGACCAGGTCGGCTACCTCTCGTTTAGATTATAGTAGTCGTCCTGTATTTTGTGCTCCGACCCTCTTTATGCAGCTGACTATATTTTCATTCATATTTCTTGTTTAAAAATTATGCAATGTGCAATGTGTACAATTTTATCAAAAAAACTTAAGAATTGTGTTGCATAAAGAAATTACAAAGATGGGACCAAGAAATTCTTAAAGGATGATATTTGTAATATGAGATGATTAATACAAATACTATTAGTTATCATTCAATTTCATAAGCATGCTTACTTATTCAGAGGGAATGACTAATTAAAATCTTGTCACAGAGTTGAAAAAGATTGTATTAACTCTTTGTTGCTTGAGAAAAAATATATGATTGTTTAAGATCTCTTCATTGGACTTTAAATTTCATAAGAATACAAATACTAAAGCAAAAAACTAGTTAATCTTTTTTTCAGCCAATTCATAAGAAAATAAACACTGTAGCAGAAAACTAGTTAATCTTTCTTCAGCCTTTGCCAATGTTGTTCAAGATGGTAAAGCCCAATTGAATACGAGTAGTTTCCTATTTATAGTAAATATAGAGAGACAGTTGGCAAATACCGGTAGTTTCCTATTTATAGTAATACAAATCAAGTAATGTTCATCTACTATTCACCTTGTCACTTCGTACATGAACAAGAAATGATAGATCTTGACGGTGTCCTGGCAGGCATTAAATTGAATTTGACGTTTAAGTCACTTATTACCTGCCAGACATTAAATGCGCACATGAGAGGTATTTAATGCTGACAAGCTGTCCAACAAGCCTACACGCATTAGGGTGACAGACTATGGTGGCGCATCGCATCAGCAATCATCACTTGACGAGTGACAATATTTTATTATATTTCCAGCCCTGAGTGCATACCAAGAGCCGATCTCGATGAATCTTCAGATCGGACTCCCACCGTAACTTGAGCTACCTTCATATTCCGGTCTTTGGGGTCTTCTTAGGAACCTCGTCCTTCAGGCACCACAGCGGCGATCTGAAAAATCTTTCTAGGCGTCATTCCTAACAACTTTATTTTTCGTTGAGTCAGACTTCCTGTTACTTAAATGCCGGTCTGGTCTTTTTCGAGGCCGCCTCCATCTGATTACTATTCCCGGTCCGCGAGTCCCTCGTCGCTCAACTCGAATGTCAACAAGAGGCTATGCCCAAGTGAGACAATAAAGCTCAGAGTAATTCAATTTCATTGTCGATTAGACATAGAAATGCACAATTTTTAAAGTTGTTTTCCTAATTCTTTTTTAAAAAAAGTAGTGTTCATAATTTCTATAATCATAAATTATTTTATGCAATATTGCACTTATTAATAATATATGTATATAAAAAAAACATTTCTAATAAGTAGGATATTGGCATGTAGCACCAAAGACATGACTGCAATAAGATAAGGATGAACAAAGATAAAAAAAAAAAGATCGAAAAAACATAACATTGAAAAACATAATAAATTACATCTTTATCTCTTTGAGTATTAAACGTGGATCTAATAAACTTGTCAAAACGAGTTGGGGCCTGCAAGCTACCCTAGCCCGCCCAACCAAAAGAGTGGGTCGACTGGGATATTAAGGTCCAACTCCAAAATGGGCTAGCCTGTTCGAGCCTCGAGTTTTGGCGGGACTGGCCCGAATTATTTCCTAGTCTAAACAACTCAAATTATCTTAAACTACTAGCTCACACAATCTAAATAAATATATCTTAAACTACTAGTTCATACAATCTAAATAAATAAATATACCTATCTCACTAATTAAATACACACACAATTAGATGGAAGAGGCGATGTTGCCCCTAGGAGTAGTGCAGTCATCCCCTAGGGGCCCTTAATTTATATACATACACACACACACACACTCACCCACATGGGTGGGTGAAATCAAGGGACTCCTAGGGACATGACAACCGAATAATTAAACCCTCACATTACACACACGCAATCTGCCTCCTCTATTCTTCTCTTCATCTTGTGACGCTTGCGCCACGAGTTCCTCTACGTTTTTTCCTTCTTTCTTATGTGAATTCAAACTCAGGAACACACAAATTCTTTCTCATACCACACTCACAAGAAATTTCTCCGAATACAAAACACCCAAAAAAAAATTCTGAAAAAATATTTCTCCTCCACATGATATATTTATGACATAAATTGGGCAATTAAGATTAAACAAAATTAATAACTATTGTACAAACTGAAACACAAAAAATAAAATAAAATAACCAAAGTGCAACTAGAAGCAGAAATATTATGGAGCCATCCGATAACTTCCTATGAAACCATTCGTAACTCGATGTGCCGACACATGCTCCATAGCAAAACCAAGACCAAAAAGTGTATTTTTTTTTTTTTGTTTAATTTATTTATTTAGTTGTGTCTATATCATAACCCATGACCCACATAACATTTTTTTCTATAAATAAAATTCCCCCCTTTCCTCTTTGGCTGCCCATGCCCATGCCCATATTAATATTATTGAGTTTGAGCACATTAAAAATATCAATCTCAAGAATCTCTGTTGCATCACTTTCTCCCCAGATTTCCCTCTCCCTTTTCTCCAAATTCCAAAGCAAAAAAAAAAAAAAA